AGAAAAAAAAAAAGAGTGGGCTAGAGAGCGAGCGAGTGAATGAGTGAGTGGGATAGCAAGGGAGGGAGAGGGTGCGTCGGAGTGGGTTAGACAGTTTCCTGTGATTTGCGCACCAGGAGCCTGGGAGTCCCATGCTGCCCCTGGGGCACTGCCTCCTGGGCCCAGCCCTGCATCCGGTGGCAGCCCAGGTGCTCACCAGTCATCACCCCAACAGTGCCGGGTGGTCTCAGGGACCTCCCCCGATCATTGCCAAACTGGCTCTGGGATGTTTCTGTGTGGCCAAAGCAGACCCCAGCGTGCTGTCCCCTTGGACGCCTCCAGGCCCTGCCCGGCACATGCAGGCCTCATCCATCTTGTGCCTGACCATGCTCTGCCACGCAGGCCTTAGCCCAGCCCCCTAGCCCTGCTGCTGCTCCCCGCCCTACCCCTGCCACCTCCTCCAGGCCACCAGCATCCTGCCTGGCCCTATGGAGAGCAGTGTCCTCCTGTGTCCAAAAGTGTCTTCCTCCTCAGCCCCTTCACTCAGGCCTCATGGGGCCCCTCTGTGGCCCCCAGCACACAAGGTATGTGCCCACTACGGGGCCTTTGCATGGCTGTGCCCTCCCCAGGCTCCAGCCCTCAGCTCCCTCAGGCTGTTTCTCAGATGTCCCTTCAGAACTGGAGCCCTTGGGCCCCCAGCCCCATTGACACAGAGCAGGCCCCCTGTTGTATCTCAGGTCACTGTGGTCGCAGCCACAGGGGCAGCACCTGTTATTGCCACAGTGTCCGACCTGGGGCCAGTGTGCATTCAAATGCACTGTTCTGAGAGGCCAGGGTGTCCATGCATGGGCTGGGTGCAGGGAGCAGCGGTGGGAAAAGGCATCAGGCCACCATGGGCCCCAACCTGGAGCCCACATTCCAGCTGCAGAGATGGGCACTGAAGGCTTTTGAGCAAGAAGAGGGGGCAACGCTGGCCCTTGGGGATGCTGTCAGGGAAACCGAGGCGACCTCGAGCCCTCGGAGCAGAGAACGGGCTGGGCCAGGGGCTGGAGGACGCTGAGCCAGCTCCAGCTGGGTCCTGCTCTGTTCCCGCCCTGCCACTTGTTTACAAAGCAGCCCAGGACTCAGGTGGAAAAATACCCCGTTTTCCACATTTTATCAGGAAGTGTTTCATACAAAGAATGTAGGTAACTGATGAAGGGGCCATCCTGTGTCCCCACAAACCTGCTGTGCACACACCACAGGTGACCCGCTCTGCCTAAGGGGACAACCCTGGTCCCTCCGGCTCCTCCCCAGCACCGTCTCCACCCAGTGGCCTGGCCGTGGATGCTGCCGGTGGCCCCACTTTGAGACGGCCAGAGCCCTGACACGTGTCCAGCCTGACGTGGAAGTTTGTCTATTTTGTGGAGTCCTAGCAGGTGCCACGTTAGTAGAATGTATGTGAGCATTTCTTTGTAAGTTCCCAAAAGCCTATGAGGGTTTTTTCCATGATTCTGTTCCCAGTTTGGCTTTTGTTGTTGTGGCTGTTCTTGACCACCCTGGACCCCACAGTGGAGAGCGGGGGGTGCGCCCGGGAGCCTGGAGCCAAGGCCCAGCCCCTCCTGCTGCGCATTTTCCTGCCAAGCAGCACCTGAGATTCGGAAGCCGATGCCTATACAGGCAGAAACCCGCCAATTCTAGCTTGAATGACTGGAGGGTCCTGAGGATGGGGATCCCTGTGGTGCCAGCATGGGCAGGGTACATCTGGGGTGCTGCCCCCCACAGGCAGGGCACCAGGGACAGGCACAGCCACGCTGGGAGCATTTCTGGTCTTGGGATCCTTCTTGGCTCTTCCGGAGGGAAGGCGGCTGCTGGGTGCCCTGTAATCTGCCTGTGAGCTGGGCTGTTCTGCTTGGTCTGCAGGGGCTGGGGGCCTCGGAGAGCGACTGGGGGGCTGCATTCTTTTCACCAGCCGCACCCACCCAGCCCCATCCTGGCTGGCACTAAAGGGAGCAGAGCGACGTTATGTCCTCCCCTCAAGCCTGGTGAATGGTGGCTCCACGAGGCTGGGGTCAAATGGTGCCTATTGCTGACAGCTGGACCTCAGTCTTGCACAGGAGCACGCACCTGGCGAGGGGGGGCAGTGAATGAGTGTGGGAGGATGGGCTAGAGAACGAGCAAGGGAAGGGAAGGAGAGAGAGAAAGTGGGTTAGAGAGTGAGTGAGCCAGGGTATGAGTGAGTGGGAGTGGGTTAGAGAGCAAGGGAGTGAGTGAATGAGTGGACTAGAGAGGGCCGGGCGCAGTGGCTCACGCCTGTAATCCCAGCACTTTGGGAGGCCGAGGCGGGCGGATCACGAGGGCAGGAGATCAAGACCATCCTGGCTAACACGTGAAACCCCGTCCCTACTAAAAATACAAAAAATTAGCCGGGCGTGGTGGCGGCACCTGTAGTCCCAGCTACTCAGGAGGCTAAGGCAGGAGAGGAGCTTGAACCAGGGAGTTGAAGGTTGCAATGAGCCGAGATCGCGCCACTGCTCTCCAGCCTGGGCAACAGAGCGAGGCTCCACCTCAAAAAGAAAAAAAAAAAGAGTGGGCTAGAGAGCGAGCGAGTGAATGAGTGAGTGGGATAGCAAGGGAGGGAGAGGGTGCGTCGGAGTGGGTTAGACAGTGAGGGAGGGAGAGGGTGCGTCGGAGTGGGTTAGACAGTGAGGGAGGGAGAGGGTGAGTCGGAGTGGGTTGGACAGTGAGGGAGGGAGAGGGTGTCTGTCTTGGTGCTGCTGTAACAGAATACCCGAGCCTGGGTTATTTCCGGGAAGCAGAGGTTGCTCCCAGCTGTGGAGGCTGGGAGTCCAGGTGTTGGTGCCAGCAGGCTTGGTGTCTGGTGAGGCCAGATCTCTGCTTCCAAGAGGATGCCCAAACACCGCATTCCCCGGAGGGGAGAGGGGAGGAAGGCCACGTGCCTTCATGGCAAAAGGCAGAGAGGAATCCATGCCCAAGCTGTCTTGACAGCTCCAGGAATCCATCTGTGAGGGCAGGGCTCCCATCGGGCCCCACCTCCTACACTGTTGCTCTGGGGAATGAGTTTCTCACCATGAATCTGGGGGGCACATTCAGACCCTGTTGTGGGTGGGTGAGAGAGCATAGCTGTGTCACTGGGACAAGTGGCCATGAGTCAGGGGAACTGAGGGGCTTTCATTGTCCTCACCTGTGTGTGTTGTGGCACCTGTGCCAGGCACCAGCGTTCTGCCCTCCCTGGCACAGGTGCATCACCAAGGCCCAGTATGCAGCGGCCAGAAGTGAGCCTTGAGCCAAGGCCCAGGCCCACCTGCTGGGCATCTTCCTGCCAAGCAGCACCTGAGATTCTGAAGTCGATGCCTGGATAGGCAGAAACGGGCCGGCAGGAGGCTCCTGACAGATGGATCGTGCGGTACCAGTGCAGGCAGGGTGCTGTGGGCAGGTCCTGCGCCTTTATGGTCAGGGTTCCAAGACGTCATGAGACGGCTTGTTCAGCCAGTTAGCGTTGGTGCCCCTCTCAACAAGGACCCCCAGGAAGGGGGTGGCCTCACAAGGGTGGCCGGGGGTCCCGCTCCATCCCACATGTGGCCAGCGTGGCCCACACTTCCGGCGTTCCTCTCAGCTCGACAACAATTTTTCTGACTTTGGAGATTTTCTAGGTTTTGTGTTGTAAGAAGAAACACTTGGCATTCAAATACTAGGCAGATTGAAATGCTGAGTTTCTTAGTGTTTCATTCTGTGATTCAAGTGCATGCGGAACACTCAATCTGGTAGGGATGATGCCCGCGCGGAGCTGACCCTTCTTGCCTTGTTTTTCCAAGCTGGAGAAGAAGCAGGCGCTCCCTCCATTCCAGCCACAGATCACGGACGACTACGGTCTGGACAACTTTGACACACAGTTCACCAGCGAGCCCGTGCAGCTGACCCCAGACGATGAGTAAGTCCCACTGGGTGCGGGAACCCCGGAGCACCCCCCCCGGGCAGCCCCATGGCAGGCCGGCACCTTGGGCGGCTGGTGACCCGGCCTGCCCTTGAGTCCCGCCCGCCTGGCGTCCTCTCTCCGGTGGGCGTTGGGGGAGGATTCTTCTGCGAATGTGACTCCCCTCCCCAGAGGGAATGAACACAGGTCATCCCCCCGCCCCCTGCCACCTTTGCCCACAGGGATGCCATAAAGAGGATCGACCAGTCGGAGTTCGAAGGCTTCGAGTACATCAACCCATTACTGCTGTCCACCGAGGAGTCGGTGTGAGGCCGCTGCGTCTCTGTCGTGGACATGCGTGATTGACCCTTTAACTGTATCCTTAACCACCGCATATGCATGCCAGGCTGGGCACGGCTCCGAGGGCGGCCAGGGACAGACGCTTGCGCCGAGACCACGGAGGGAAGCGTTGGCAGGCGCTGCTGGGGGCAGAACGGTCCCTCACACCTGGGCCCGGGCAGGCCAGCTTCGTGCTGGAGGAACTTGCTGCTGAGCCTGTGTCGCGGTGGCCGCGGGGACCCTGCTGAGGGGCTGTCATGCAGTTTCCAAGGTGCACATTTTCCACGGAAACAGAACTCGATGCACTGACCTGCCCCGCCAGGAAAGGGAGCGTGTAGCGTCCTGAGGAATAAAAGTTCCGATGATGTGGAAGCCCCTCTGATGCCTTTTTTCCGTGAGTGGCGCCTGCCCCACGTCTCCGACGCAGCCACATGGAGGGGGGCAGGTTAGGAGCCAGCAGGACACAGGTGGGGGCGGGAGTGTAAGTGCCTGTGGGGACACACGCAATCAAGAAGTGTACAAACTCGCACCGTTTCCTAAAGCCCGGTAAGTTCCTGTGGTTGTTCCTGCAGAGCGTGTGCCCAGCCGCTGTGGTCTCAGGGTGAAGTGACACCTTAAGCAGGTGGCGGCTGGGCCAGCCAGCTCACTGGACCGATGGGGAAATTGGATCATAGAGATTCTAAAATGTGGCTCACCAAAGCACAGTAGACCAAAAAAGAGAAAAAGAAAATTGAAAACTAAATCTGCACAAATCCATTTCTGACCACACTAAGCAGTGCCTGCACGATCCCTCATGCAACGCATTTGACTTTTGGAAAATATTCTTACCTGTCACACAGTACTGAGAGTTAGGGAAAACTAACAGATGTATGTGTGACAGACCCCAGCCTTAAAGTTCAAAATGATGACCCTACAGACATCCGGAAACACAGGCAGTCCTCCCAGCAGCGCGGACCTTCCGCTCCCTCCTGCTCCCGGGGACACGCCCGCGCTCTCCGTCCTCCCACCCCTCCGGTGAAGGGACAACTGTCCAGAGCCGAGGCTTCCTAGAGGCAGGTCTGCCGGCTGCCAGGGGTCAGGTGTGGCGGAGCCGTCTTCTGAGCTCTCTGGGAGGGGGGTCGCACCACCTCGTGCCTCTGAGTGGGGCCTGGTGCACAGGTGTGGAAATTGCCACGCAGCCCTCTTGGCCAGGCGGAGACCCCAGGCCTCCATGACTCAGGGGCCGCCCCACCCCACCGTGCGGCTGGTGGCTTCGGGAGGAGATACGAAAACCTCAAGTTAGGAGGTTCGCGCCACGCCTTGCCTTGCCTCAAAGTCATACCCACCAGGTGAGCGTGGTCCACCCTACACTCAGGTTTCTCAGGGCACCGCTCCATGCCTGGCGCTGAGCACGACGTGGTGGATTCACACCCGAGCCCCAGGTGCTGGGACAAGAACGGCGCTGGGCACACCCCGCCCCTCCCCCCGCTCAGGCTTCTGGGTGGAATGTGGAGATGGGTTCCAGCCACACTCCCAGCCGTAGCCAGTGAGACTCTCCTCCAGACGGAAAGTTAGACGCCCCAGGGCAGGGTCCAGGAGCCGACCTGGGTCTCACACAGGTGTCCCAGACCAGCGTGGGGATGTCCAGGTAGCGGGGCCTGGCCTGCAGCCACTGAAGTCACACCTGCCGGGGGAGCAGGGCTGCTGGGACCCCACCTTGAGTGGGAGACCCCCAGTGTATCCCGGAAGTGGTTAACAAACTGCTTTCCATGAGCCTCCCTGATTTGTTAAATATTTAAGGCACTGACCTAAATACTGCCGTGTTGCCAACAGCGTGCCGGTTACCAGTTGGGCTGTTCTTGTACACAACGTGAGTAACACTGTGCTCATCACAGGGGAGACTTTTCTATTCCGTCATTTGTTTTATAAATTAAAGTGAAGGATGTATTGAAGTGTGCTTTGAAAAATCCTGGTATTTGCCCATGGCTCCGGTCACAATGGTGTGTCTTTTGGAAGTGATTCCTAAACTCTGGTGACTTGGGGGCTGCACGGTGGGCCTGCGTGGGCGCGGTGCGGGGCAGCTGCCCATGGAGCCCGTGGCTGACCGGCTCTCCCGTGGATGACACCCTCGATGGCCAGGGTCATTCAAAGTCTTATACATCCATTAAAGACTTTAATGAAAATGCTTACATCATTATTATTATTAAAAATAGGTGGTTTTGGCCATGCACGGTGGCTGGCGCCTGTGATCCCAGCACTTTGGGAGGCTGAGGCGGGTGGATTACAGTCAGGAGATCGAGACCATCCTGGCTAACACGGTGAAACCCCGTCTCTACTAAAAATACAAAAAAAAAAAAAAAAATTAGCCAGGCATAGTGGCAGGCGCCTGTAGTCCCAGCTACTCGGGAGGCTGAGGCAGGAGAATGGTGTGAACCTGGGAGGTGGAGCTTGCAGTGAGCCGAGACTGCATCACTGCACTCCAGCCTGGGCTAGAGAGCGAGACTCCGTCTCAAAAAAAAAAAAGTAGCTGTTTCCAAGAAGCAAAGGTTTTTCAAGCCATTTTCTTTTTTTTTTTTTTTTTTTTTGAGACAGAGTCTCGCCCAGGCTGGAGTGCAGTCGCGAGATCTCAGCTCACTGCAGCCTCCACCTCCCAGATTTAAGCGATTCTCCTGCCTCAGCCTCTGCAGTAGCTGGGATTACAGGCATCTGCCCCACACCCGGCTAATTTTTGTATTTTTAGTTTCTCCATGTTGGCCAGGCTGGTCTCGAGCTCCTGACCTCAGGTGATCCCGCCTGCCTCGGCCTTTCAAAGTTCTGGGATTACAGGCGTGAGCCACCGAGCCCGGCATGAAGCCATTTTCTTAAGTAGGCCTATGTCAGGGCCGTTTTGGGCTCCCAGCAAAATGAGCAGAAGGTGCACACAGAGTCCCCATGCCCTGCCCACCACAGGGCACGCTGCTGACAGCTGCTGGGCCTGCCCTTGTCATCACCCCACGGCCAGAGTTCCCGCCGAGCTCGCCAGAGGCTGTCAGTCCCGTGGGTGTGGACAGGCGCGTGACTGGATTCACCACTGTGGGGCCACGCAGCGAAGTCCACGCCCCGGAGACCTCCTCGGCTCCGCCTGTGCCTTCCTAGCCCCTGCACCCTCTGATGTTTTAGGTCCTCACGGTGTTGCCTTTTCCAGGACATGCTAGGGTTGGAATCACAGAGTGTAGCATTTTCTTTCCCTTAGTGATCTGCATTTATGGCTCCATGTTTGTCGCAGCCTATCTGCAGCCATCATTGAAAGGAAAATACAGACATCTGGGTGTTCATCTTGGTTTTCACACCACGTCTGCCCCCAGGTCTGTTCCCTCGGCCCCCACAGACGGGTCAGGGCTGAGCCCGCAGAGCGCGGCTCTCCAGAACCTGGGGGCTGAACAGCAGTGGACAGGAAGCGCCCTGAAGACGCTGCTCCCCGTGCTCCACTCGCACCGTGAGCCGCACAGACAGTGGCTGACAGGTCTGGGTGAACCAGATGCCCACTGCTGCTGTCCTTCCTCAGAAACTCCTGGTTTCAGGAGAAGCGGCCTCAAAGCCCTGGCGGGTGATGAGGCCCTGGAGCCCCACACCACAGGGAGTCTCCGCTCCCAGAGCCCTAACAAATGACCACAGACCCGGGGCTTCAGCCAGACTCCTTGACTCCAGAGGAGGGCCTTCTTCTGTCCCACACGGTGGAAGGAGCAAGGGAACTTCCCGGGGTCTCCATTACGGGGCACTAATCCCATCAAGAGGTGCTGGCCCGACCTCCTGGCCTCTCACCAGAGGCCTCGCCTTGTGGTGAGAATTTCAACCTAGGGATTGAGGAGTTCCAGACCCACAGCCCGCAGCACGTGGTGGCAGGAGCCTTCCTTTTTCATAACTAGCTGCAGTTGCAAGTTCATTTTGGGGAATTAAAACACGACCAATGGCAGGGCGCGGTGGCTCACGCCTGTAATCCCAGCACTTTGGGAGGCCGAGGTGGGCAGATCACAAGGTTAGGAGATTGAGACCATCCTGGCTAACACAGTGAAACTCTATCTCCACTGAAAACACAAAAAATTAGCCAGGCGTGGTGGCACATGCCCATAATCCCAGCTACTCAGGAGGCTGAGGCAGGAGAATCACTTGAAACCAGGAGGCGGAGGTTGCAGTGAGCTGAGATCGTGCCACTGCACTCCAGCCTGGGTGACAGAGCAAGATTCCATCTCAAATAAATAAATAAATAAAGGCTGGGCACGGTGGCTCACACCTGTAATCCCAGCACTTAGGGAGGCCGAGGCGGGCAGATCACGAGATCAGGAGACCGAGACCATCCTGGCTAACACAGTGAAATACAAAAAAATTAGCCGGGCATGGTGGCGGGCGCCTGTAGTCCCAGCTACTCGGGAGGCTGAGGCAGGAGAATCGCTTGAAACCGGGAGGCAGAGGTTGCGTGAGCTGGGATCCTGCCACTGCACTCCAGCCTGGGCAACAGAGCAAGACTCCA